AATAATAGAGTAATTGATAACATATGACAGCATAGTCAGCACATACCTGGGCAACGATCTGGTGGTCTCTTCATCATCTGGAGGTGGTATGAGTGGTAGGGGTGGCGGAGGTATATCCACTTTGGGGGTACAAACATAAAACTAATTTAATATTTATTAAAAATACATTCACTCAAAAGACCTAAATCTTTACTAATGTATATAATAAGCATTAAGTTTTAAATAAAAAATTAATGAAAAAATTAAGCAAGCAACATTAATCAAGGTGGGTTCCGGACCTAATGTGTCGAATTGGATGTCTTCTAAGGGGAAATTCATTTTCGCACACATTTGACACGTTTTCGCGTAGATTCTGTTGTTATTATTGTTTTGATTGAAAAATGTGTTCAGTTTTTGTCCGCTTCTGTCAAATACTCGCATCAAAAGGCGCGACTCAACGCTAGTTTCCCGACACTAATCAGTCAATTGATTGTATTATTAATATTATTACTGCAAACATATCTGTCAATCAGTTTACGCAACTGAGAAGCAAATAAAATAAAAGTTTAAAACCAGAATCTCGTTGAAAACACTTTGAAAAAATTCTTGTTTGACATACTATTTCGTAACACTTTTAACAGCGAATATCACGGATTTGCAAATAAATCTCAACAAATATTTTCAATAACTGTTAAGTTTAGAAATGAGAGTAAAAAGGGATTAGGTGATTATTTTTAACAGAGAATATTCTTTAAGAAAAAGCACTAAATTACTGAATATTTGTTTATTTATGAACGGAATCGATGCGTACAATGGCATTCATTAATGAAAATAGTTATTCACATAAATCTGTTAAACGATTGACAGAGAAACAAAAACTATTGATAGAAATACTGATAAAACAGATGTGAATGAGAGTTAAGACGTTAAGGACGCGTGAAATTAGCTGTTCATCACTGGATCTCATATCCAATACAACACATGAATATATACTGAGAATATATTCCGATAAACACTTTTGAGCCAAAAATTGCGTTCAGATTAACATTTATTTACAACAGTCTCAAAGATGTTTAACATAACACTAATCATAAAGTAAGTCAAAGAACTATATTTCCCAACGACTCGGCGCTTAAGCCAACAAAATAACGGTTTATATGGGATGGGATGGGATGCGAGTGTGAGATTGGGCTGAG